AACAAAGTACGATGGGATCTAAAAAATGACCCCCTTTGGATCTCGATGCTGCGACTATGGAGACAGATGGGTCCATCCAGGAAGCCCCCCCCGCTGAGATGGCAGGAGCTATGGCGACAACCTCTGTTTGGAAATCCGCTCGTCTGCGATAATGATGGACAACCATTTTCCCTCGCAACTAACTCCCACTGGTTGACGTGGGTGAGAAATGGTAGACGGTTGACCAGCTTCGCTCTCAACTCAAATATATAAAAAGAAGCCAAACCAAGTTGCACAAACTGCAGACAGCGATCCCGTCCCAATGGGTGGCTACACTACGAAATGGCCCGTCGTTGTGTCCACTGGATTGGGTTATACAGGCCATTCCAAATGGCATCCCTATGCTCATTTTCAGAATATCGCAAGTAACCCAAGGAAGAGTACAGCTGCAGGCATATGAACCGGACGTACCGGGAGCAAAGATGGGCCTCCCTTCAAAGAAACCGTGTCCTGGATCGCACGGCACAAGAAGAGGAGCCGATGCGAATAAGAGTAATGGGATCTGAGGAAGCAGGCTATTATGCATACCAAATGTCCACCCCAATTGGGGGACTACCCTTTGACCCGGACGAGTGGGAATGGAAGGGCACCAATCCCGTGCCGGTGTGGCAGTATTCAGTCAAAGAAGGGTACAAAAGGGCACATTCCTTCCAATCATCCACCAAAGCAGTCCAAAACAGATGGAAAAGGGACTTTCCGATAAGAGAAGGAAGCCTGCGTCACATCCCATGGGCCACATACGCTCACATCATGCCTACCTCCCACCGAGCCCTTCAATGGCAAATAACTCACCGYTGTCTCCCGACCCCGGAMTGGATCACAACAAGATCAAACCTCGAGCAGGCCGGGATCCTCTCCCCAATATGTGCTCACTGTGGCCCGAACGCACAGCCACGAAGGGCGGATCTCGAACACTGCCTACTCGCGTGCCCAATGGCTATTAGATTGTGGCAATGGTGGGACGCGATGTGGCACACGCTTACAGGTTCTGCATTCCACTGGGACATTGCATTAATCCTATTTGGGAAACGCAGGAACATGCCAGCAGATTGGACACCTTTTCAACAAAAATTTTTTGGCTACATGAGATTGGCAGTCATGGTAATCTGGAGGATACGATGCTCTGCAGAGCGACAAGACGCTGCCTTTGGGTTCCACCAAGCCAAGGCACATTTACTGGAAGTCATTCGTGCAAACCTCAGCAAAGCCAACAACAAGCTTGTAGAAGTACCGGCAACAACCCAGGATGAGGAGTCTAGGAGAAAAGCCAGAGCAGCTTTTCAGAAAATATGGCTAGACCCCGACTGTAAGATGGCCGAACTGCACGATAACGGGAAGCTTAGATGGAAGAACTGGGCAATGCATGATGATCACTGGTCCTACCACCGACCCGAATGCTTCCCTGTGCCCCTACCTCCCCGAACAATGGGTGCTATGCCCATGGTGAGCCTCAATGTGGGATCAGGTACCCAACTTCAGACCGACCTGCCCGCCCGAGACCATCCCCAACAGACCGGGGCACGGACGCAGTCAACCCATTCCCCCCCATCAACTGATCAAACACCGCACCCCCTGCCTGATGACCCGTTTCTGGTCTCCCCGCAGTCTCCCCCCCCACTTCCAATGGTGCCTCCGCCCCTGACGCCGCCACCACCCCCGGTACTCTCGGTGGACACGTCTTCCCTGACCCCTCCCGATCTCCCTCCTGTGCCTTCGGGCCCCCCACCATTCACCCCCCCCTGCCCCCCAACTCCCAGTCAACCTCCCCTTTCCATTCACTTTCCTTCCTCAACCTGATGGGCTCTCTGCCCCGCTCCCCAATACTCCCTAATGAGCCAACTGAGCAGCCCAAGTACCATGAGGCGCTGGGCGCAGGGCGACAGCTCAGACAAGGATGGCCAGCAAAGAGGCTGTCTCTACCACAGGGGAAGAGAGAATGACAAAGATGGACAATCAAAACCAAGCTACCCACAACATACTAGACGAAGCTGCAAGAAGACCTGCTCAAACTAGGGACTGTGTCCAGTCAACAGAAGCAGGGAGGGATACGACAATCATCATAGCTGGATCAACCGGGCCCTTCAGCACTACGAAGGCCCACAATAGTGCAAAAACTGGGACGCAAGACCCGCTCCCCGGCAATCTTATCACTCTCCTGCGCTTGATAAGGGACGCTGGACCCGGTTTCCAGCACAGTGGTGTCATGTTCAAATATTGTAAAAGTTGTAATGATGTATTCAAAGGGACGCTGGACCCGGTTTCCAGCAGGTGATGCTCCCCACCAATAGATGGAGTGGCCCGATAGGCAAAGCCTCAATCCTGGTGGTTCTCTTACCACCACCGGGATAGTGGTCTTGTACGAGGCCTTTTTCCAAAAACAAAAAAACAAAAAAAAACAAGCCGTAACTTTAGGACACGTACGGGACACTACAGGAGCGCCCAAATTCACCCGTGTAGAAACACTGCTACTCTATTTTCCCCTGCGCCCTGTAGCTGTGCCAAGTACTGGTGGTTTACTTATGCTCATTCGTCATCATGTTCGCTGTAAACCACTCCACGAGAAAAAGCATGACTGTGCCACACTGCACTGTTTTGTCCTTTCACCTACAGACAGTCTGCCGACGATGCATTTGACTGATGGATAAGGACGGCCTCACCACATCGCCCACAGTGAGAGGTACCCACCTGCACTCTTGGTGAACCCCTTTCCGTGGATGTCTCTCTCTCAAAATCCTGCCGTTGACTTCACTCACACCAACCATGCAATCCTGCCATGGCTGTGACTACTTAGTTTTTATGACTTGTTTTGACACAAACTCAAAATCCTCCGGTCCAAACTTCTGACAACGAGTACGTCAGAGAAACTAAACAGTCACAGGGCCTCGTTCTACACCACTACAAAACCCCTTACATGTAAGGTTTTCATCGTTCCACCCCTCCCTAATCCCGACGAAAAAGAAGTCGAACTTGTTTTCACATTTGCGGCTGTAAGGGCTGGCCCTACAAAAGTAAGGACTCCCCAGCCAAAACGGACCTTGATGTAAGGAGGCCCGTGGAAGTGACTTGAAAGTAGGGGGTGGCACCCTTACATCCGCAAAGAGAACCATTTTATTTTATTTTATTTTTTAACATCAGGTGTGTCTTTCGGCCAATTAGAACGCAAACGGAGGCGCCTGAAATGTAAGTGCGCCTAAGTGTAGGGTTTTCGTAAGTGGTTGTGGAACGAAAAATGAGGTAAGGGAAAATTAATCACTTTTTCGCCGTAAGGGCAACCTTACAAAGTAAGGTTTTGTAGTGGTGTCGAACGAGGCCCACAGCCATAAAACCCAACCACTCAGCCATGGTGTGTGTGTGTGTGTGTGTGTGTGTGTGTGTGTGTGTGAGAGAGAGAGAGAGAGAGAGAGAGAGAGAGAGAGAGAG